CAGCGAGCAGTGGAGCGGTCGAATGGTGGCTCTGCTTGTTGTGGGCTGCGTTGGGAGCTTCTCTTTAGTATTGATTTCTTCTTTCTTTCTCTTCAGATATTGTAAACGTAGAGGTTGTCGCGTCCACGATTCTGGCCCCATGGAAGATCCCACCGTCGTCGACAATAGTCGTCCGACGGCGGAAATTGGGACCAACAGAGTTTTGGAAAAGAGATTGAGCCATTTAATCAGCCTGGGAAATGGGGGCCAATTGGAGGACTTCCCACTCTCAGTTCTTCTTGAAGCCACAAACAATTTCTCTGAAGATCACAAAATTGGAACGGGAAGCTTTGGATCGGTTTATCAAGCAGTTTTGAGTGATGGTCGAGAAGTGGCCATTAAAAGAGCTGAAACCTCCACCATCTCATCCTCTGCTTGGGGGACAAAGCGACAAGAAGACAGAGACAATGCCTTCCTTAATGAGCTTGAATCCTTGTCTCGCATCAATCACAAGAATCTTGTACGCCTCCTCGGATTCTTCGATGACAGCCATGAGAGAGTCCTAGTCTACGAGTTCATGAGCAATGGCACCCTCCACGACCACCTTCACAAGCTCCACCAATCCTCCCCGCTCGCCGCCTCCTGGGGTCGCCGCATTGCCGTCGCGCTCGACGCTGCCAGAGGGATCCAATACCTCCACGACTACCTTTCCCCGCCAATCATCCACCGCGACATTAAGTCCTCAAACATCCTCCTCGATGCTAGGTGGACGGCCAAAGTCTCCGACTTTGGACTCTCATTGATGGGGCCAGACGATGACACATCCCACCTCTCGCTACGCGCAGCAGGTACCGTAGGGTACATGGACCCAGAGTACTACCGTTTGCAACAGCTAACTACGAAGAGTGACGTATACAGCTTCGGAGTGGTATTGCTTGAGTTGTTGTCGGGGTATAAGGCAATCCACAAGAATGAGAATGGGGTGCCAAGAAATGTGGTGGATGTGATGGTGCCATACATTGTGAGGGATGAGATTCATAGAGTTTTGGACCCAAAAGTGCCGCCGCCATCGCCGTTTGAAATAGAGGCGGTGAAGTATGTGGGGTATTTGGCAGCGGATTGTGTGATTACGGAAGGGCGGCATCGACCTTCCATGACGGATATTGTAAATTGTTTGGAGAGGGCATTGGCCGCTTGCTTGCCTCCTGTCACTCTCTCTAGATCATCTACTGACTCTTCCATGTAACTAAACATTTATTCAAATCAAATTTCATTCATTCAATCGTTTTAAATCATCAATCAATTAAAAAACTTAAGTCGATAAAGGATGTCCTTTTGTTTGGCCATAAAATCCCAACCAATCATCTTCTTGGAAGCTACACAAGAAAAACTATGTAGACCAGTGAAGCAAAGCAACTAATAGAACTAAATGAAACAACTAGATGTTGCAATAAATTGAAAAAGCAAGATCTTGAATTGTAGTTTTAAGTAATATATATATATATCTAAAATTATATTACTTATCAAACTTGCTTTTAAAAAGTTGTAGCTTCAATTTGGTAGCAACTAAATCGTTTGTTGAAGATTTCTCCTAAAGGGACAAATCTGTCACTTCAACACGATTTCAAAGAGAAGAGGTAAACGCACCAAGGTGGCAGAGAGAGGGACTAACGAGAGAGGGAAGAAAAAAATAATGGAAATGGGAAAACATTCAGGGTTAAAATGTCCATGTGATATCTCAACTTTAAATAAATAATTTTTTTTTACTACGGAGTTGAGATTCAAACATAACTTTTTGATTCAATATATATGCCCCTTCCGATTTAGATTTTTTTAAAAAAGAATAACGAAATTAGAAAAATTTAAACCAAAATTAAGATAGTTTTGAAACTAATGATAAAAGTAGTTTGTGGAGGTGGGAGATCAAACTCACAATCTCATGATTGAAGGTATATGTCAATTACCGCTGAACTATACCCACAATAAAAATAATTGATAAATCGCGGGGATTGGATATGATTTGCATAAATGGTAGGCATTCTAAATTATTTCCCTACAATGTTTCACTTTCTTTTTTTTTTAACTCCATAACCTCCGGTTGATCCTCCATTTCAATTTTCTTCTCTCTATCCCTTTAAATTTCTTTTATTTCTTCTTCTTTATTGTTTTTTTTTTATTACAAGTAAGATCAGAGTGATCAGAGATACATGCTAAATCGCTAGGTTAAGCTCATATCGGCTCTCCTACTTTACTGTTAACCTCTCAGACTCTCTCAACTTACTCTCCATATTATCTCACCAAATTTTCCATTTGTCAGTGAAATCATCTCTTCAATAGACAAATAAATCGTCGGTTGAAGAGGCAATTCGATGACAGGCAGGGAAATTATCTCTTCAACAAACCATTTTGCTTTCAGCTAATTAAAAACTAGAGACTTTTGAAAATCATATATTTCAAAAGTAAGTTCTAGAAAACAATATTTAAAAAAAAAATATCCCTAAAATAGGAGAATTTGGTTGCAAACCCATTAAAATCCAAAAAAAAAAAAAAAAAGGTTTAGCAAATATTTTCAAACAAATCCATTACAATTAGTGAAACTAAATGGAATTTGGATTTCGAATCACCCAAAATTATAACCCCAATAAAAAAGATGAACAAAATGGGATGATATAAGGGCAAGACAAAGATTTACATTTGATAGACAATGGGAAGGGAAGAACATATTAGGCTGTTAATAAAGATGCAAAAGTGGCCACTACACAATGAAAAAGCCTCAGATTAATGGAACTGATCCCTCAACATCTCTCAAAAATCTTGTAAAGTTTCTCCAATGATGCAACCTGTGAAAGTCAATGATAATTACATTTTAATAAACCACCAATCAGTTTTCCAAGCAACCAAAAGCACACATTAAATGTAGGTTGTGGTCAACAAATGAAGCAATTGGCAGCTACTTATAACGAAAAGTCTCGAGGAATGGTCAATAAAATCCTCATATCTACTTAATCTCCACAGGTTTTAGATGTGCTGTTGACTTGGGTTTTTTTAAAATTTCAAACATTGGAAAATAACGTTTCTGAAGTCCTAATTTCCAAAACTACCGTTGAAGATTTCCTTGAAGGACAATATCAAATTTTTCGAGAAGTGAACATGGAAAAGTTGCTCGTGTATCGATTTGTAGATCGTTATGATACAAGCATTAAAAAAAGTGTTCGACTCAGCCTACATGGGATTGATTCCTAGACCTACCTATAAATAATAGCTTCTTCAATATATTCTCTTTGGTGGGGTGAAGTTATAAGGGAAGAAAAATTACCCGAACGAGTGTTCCATTTTCGGCCAGAGAATTTGGAGGCTTGAAGAACAGTTTCATTGATGGGAAGAGAACATGCTGTATTGACCACTCACGTTGAGCCCACATGGTTTCGGCCTCCGATAGTAGCCCATGCTCGATTTCATTCTCCATTACCACCTCACCATCACCTGGAAATGACCCCTTAAAGATCATGCAAGGCTATATTGTGTGGAGAAGGAAGTAGCATTGGATATGTGAAATAGAAATTACAACCCTTTTGATCTTGAACCTATGCCTATAGAATTCACTTAAAATGCAGAAACAACATTCCAGTTGAAACAAGTGTAGGAAAAGGTTGGCTTTAATTTTAAGCCCTAATGCGCAGGAAGGTTAGGAAAATTAAAGCAAAAGAAAGTCTAAATTATACATACAGAGAGTCAACATTAAATGACTGAACATGCTTGGGAAGGCTAGCAAAAAAAGGATAGAATACAACTACTTTCAGCTGGTAAGCATGGAAAAGAAAAATATTATGAAGCAAGAACAAGAGAAAGCTGTCATTACAAACTCAACCTTGCTAATTGATCACAGAGACGCAATCTTAGTATGTCATTTGCTGTAATCATAAACATAGGAGATGATATGACACAACATGGACACGGTGACATGTCATTTCTTAAAAATCTAAGACAAGACATGTATACCATAAGAACACGTTTATTAAAATATACAATTTTTTAAAGTATATATCATTTTTTATACAAGAAAATTCAAAATCAACATTTTCATGCTTAAGAAAGTGAGTTTGATGTATCTTGCCCTCAAAACTTTTATCAGGTATTACTATTTATGTCTATTTCTTATGCTTAACAAGTGTTCAATATGTGCCTAATAAGTATCAGATCCATATTTTACTTTGTACACATAGTGGTGTGATTCTATTGAGATAATAAGTGTCTGATACATGTCTAGTAAGTGTCGGGGTGTCCAACACAGACACATTACCCAAATAGAAGTGTCTATGCTTCTTAGAATAGAGCCCATTATTGCTCAGATTGAAAAATACAGCAGATATTAGGGCCAATAATAATCTGTTACGTAAAAGAACAAGAAAAGGAAAACCAAACATTCAAGAAATCAATATTGGCAAGCAGTTACCTATATCTTCATCTTCAGGTTTCCCGGATGATTTTATCCGTTTGTAGAACTGCAAGCCATCACCTGATGGATTGGGTAGCAATGGAGGATGCATAGCATAGAAATTCCCAATGGCAGCTGAAACCGACTGGAGACAATTTTTCTCATCTTCCCAATCAATCTACAAATTATAAGTACATTTAGGTATATGGTATACTAGCTAAGGCAGATAATGCATTCCTCAAAGATGTGTATTGAATTAAGAACCGTTGCTTGAGCAGTTTCTTGACTTCCAGATAATGGCCTTTTTTTTTCTTTTTTTTGGGATAAGAGACAGATATATTAACAAAACAACACCAAGGACAAAACAACCTAAGGGCAAGGGATGAGAGGACCATCTTCCAAAAGAAACTAATACATGAACGCTGTCCAATCATGGAGAATCGAAGATAAGTTGTAATTACAAAAAAAATCTCTGTGTTCGAGGCACCAAAGAGATGTCGTAAGCTGTATACCATCTACGAGCCTGTTTATACTAGAGGAGGTTTCTTCAAAATCTCTGTTGTTCCATATAATTACTTTTATTTCAGTATTTAGTGGCATAGGAAAATGGCAAGTATGTTGTGAGGCAATCCTCCCCTTTTAGGTTTAGAATTATTCACAATAAAATAAGGAGTTATAACCATTACTAAAACCAAGTGGGAGGAAGATAAAACATATGAGTGGGGATGGATTTGAAGTTTTCATAAGTTACAGAACTCAAAAGTCATTTAAAAATGAAGTTACAGATTTAGAAAAGGAGTATCGACTTGAAAAGAGGATCTTGAGAAAGGGTTATGAGAGATGGATAAGAACGAAGAGGAGCTTTAATGTGACTGATAAATAAATAATCAAGAATGCCCATAAAAACGGCATCAAGAAACCAAGGAAGCATCGCCACACTTCCACTAAAGGGATGGACCCGAAGTTTCTTAGGAACCAAAGTTAAGCGAAGAAGCACAACAAGAAGAGTGCTGAAACCGCTTCGGAAGAAAGAAGTTTTTAGGATTTCTATGATATAAGTTTGCTTCTACTGAACCTTTTGTTTTCTGATTTTTGTTTTTGTTATATTCTTGTAATATTGACTTTGTTGTAGCGAAAAAAAAAATGATCAAGAATATCAAGCAAGACCTAATTGATATTTACCACCAGGACGAAATAGATCTAATTCAAAGATGCAATATTCGGTAATTAAAAGAAGGTGATCAGAGTTCAGCATTCTACCATAGATATCTAGCAACACAGAAAATATGTCATTTCTGGGATGTTTTCAGCTGAAAAGGTAAGTTTAGTGGACGGAAAAGCAATTAAATATGAAATGATTAATTTCTACAAGTGCTTATAAAAAAAAGGATGCCTCTACGGTTCTACCAATGTCAAAAAACGATTAGTTCAAAAATACTCTTGAAGAAGTTAAAATTTGTGGACATGAGAATCGAATGGATTTACAATGGAAGGTGAGACCCTAGTGGTTGTTTCACAATTTGCTCTTAGGTAAAAGCAAGATCTATTTTCCCAAGAGCTAATAACATGTGGCTAAAGGCTGTTTGGAAATATTAAGAAATAACCAAGAAAAGTTAACATTAGAGAACAAAATCCAAATACAGAAAAGTAAAATTCAATATTGAAGAGACCTCGTAATATTTGATAATAATCGCTAGCAGATAAGAATAATTCCTAAGAGACAAAACACAATAATTAAGTAGCTAGCTAATTGTAGAGTATGACTTAGTATTAAGCGATCATTTTACAAATATAAAACGTGCAAATTATGTAATGGCACATTTTATGTCTAAATTTAGTACTTAAGGAATACCAAGCACCATAGAGAAATTAATATGACCAAAAGGATAATGCAAAAATGAATAGATGGAATAACGTAAATAATAATAATAATAATAATAATAATAAAATTCAACAGAAGGATATAAAAACTTACATCATTAGCCAAGGAAACTATAAATTCAGGAACACGGTCCATATCAGGTGTGTATTGGTCAAGTACGAGCGGAAGTCTAGCCAAATTCCCATTTTTGTCAATATGTATGCAGAAAAATTCCTCCAGCATTTCAGCCTTCTGCTTGAGTAGTTTTGAGCCCATCTAAAAAGCAGCGGCAAAACATTAGACATAGAGAACAAGAAGCTATAAGAAAACTGAAGAAAGCACTAATTTGTGCCTTAAAAACATATATCAGAGAGGACAGCGAATTACCTCAGCTACCTTCTCTTTAAAACCATCATTCTCATTGCACACTGGATTCACATCTTCCTCCTTCAGTGCCAAAATAATTAACTCGGACAGAGGGGCTGGGTTGCTCAATTGTATTGCGTTAAAATGCGCAAATCGATGTAAAACTTGCTGGTACATGAGTTCTTTGCTACAAATTACAATGCAGACATTTTTTAAAAGTAAAAAAGAATTAAGTTGCCTAGACCTATTATCTTTAAACATTCGAGTAAATAAGCCCTCATTTCTTTAAATTTTTTTAATCTTATAATTTATAATAGGTTTACACACATGAAGTTTATACATATATATATTTTGTTTCTATTTTTTGCTTTAAAAAGAACCCTAATTTTTTAAGCCCACTAAAGCCCCATGTGGCTGTTGCACTTGAATACACCTCCCTACTCCCTTTACACGGTTAATAATGCAACACCTGGAAGTTTTAGTATTATTATAGTATTTATTTGTTGTTTGATAATTAACTTAAAATTTATTTTGATAATTAACTTATGTAAGTTTATCTTCTTTTTAAGAGTTGTACCTTAGATAAGCATCTTTATTTAAGATAAAATTTAATCTTTTTAAAATTTGAATTAAGATAATAGTTTAAAAGAATAAGATTCAAAACGATACATGTAGTAAGCTCACCAAAAGGTATGAACATGAGACCTCTGAACTGGTATGACAAAAGACCTCAAGCCCTTGCCAACTGGGCTACCTCTTTGGGGCACATGCTAGGAGAGTAATTAGAGAATAAATTAGAATGAGCACACTATTGAGATACTTTAAGTTTGGCCAGGTTGAAAAGTTTAAGTGCTGACTTCTTTTTCCCTTCAAATACCCTTTGGTTTCTTTCAAACCAAAGCTCATATAACAAGCTTTCACTCCATTTACCCAAAGCATACCAATTTTTGAAGGCAAGTGCAGCTCAAAAAGTCAAGCTGATGTACCATCCCAAACAAAGAGGTATTAAGGGTATGTTTGGGTGTGATGGTAGAATCAGTAATTTTGAAAACATAGATTTAAATATAGCTGATTTTTCAAAATCACCATCCAAGTGATACTTTAAAAATCAATTTAAAGTGATCTTAAACTTTCCAAAAATCAATTTTTTAATTTGCCAAACATGATCAATGGAAAGGGAAGTGATTTTGACACTCTCAAACGCACCCTAAATCTAATCCCAAACAGCTGATCCTCACAAAGAGGGTATTATATCTAATAAGCTCTCAAACAACCTCACTAGATCTTTCCACCCCCTAAAGATTATTATTTCTCTCAAGCCAAATTCCCCCCAAGATAGCAAAGATACAAACTTACCGCAAAAAACTTCCCCTATCAAGAAAGGGGGGACAACAACACCTCCTCCATCATCGCTCAACAATCTCTATTACAAGCAAAAGATAACCCCAAAGCACTAAAAAAACGATCCCAATCTTTCGAGGAAACTGACAAGACCAAATAATGTGGTCAAGATACTTCGAGGCACCTGTGCAAAGCACACACCACTAAGGCTCCAAAAGGRAAGAAGGCACCTTTGGATACAATCCAATGTATTGATTTTTCCATGTATGACCTGCCACTCAAAGAACTTAATAATTTTTTGGAATTTGACCTTCCAAAGCGAGGCAAATAACGAAGCAAAAGGGGGAAGAGAGATAACTCAACAGATAGAAGAAAGAGCGGCAAGAAAACCTCTTGGAAGGCCAAACTCGAAAATCCTTACTCCCCCACAAAAAAGAGCATCTGCCAGCATAAGTAAAGCTGAAACCTCCAAAGTCTCTCTATCCATCAAGGGACGCCTGAGACCTAAAGAAAGTGAAGATGAACTCCTCACTGAAACCAAAACCGAGGCTACCAAATGCAACCTCTTACTAGTGAGATGGTAAAGACATGGAAATAAAAGGAAAAGGAGTCTGTCTCCCACCCAAATTTCCCCATGGGAGTAGGTATYAGACCCATCCCCCATAGAACATCTCAAAAACTAGGAATTGAAGGGGGAGCAAACGAAATAGCCTTCCACGGATTTCTAGCACACATCTTAAGTCCTCCTGCTAAGACCTCGTCAAAAGAATGTGGCCCATACTTGCTCACGATAACCCTACACAACAATGCCCTAAGTTCTTGAAAGAAACACCACGACCATTTAGGCAACACAACCTCA